GTAGGAGAATGGCGTGAACCCGGGAGTCAGAGCTTGCAGTGAGCTGAGATCCGGCCACTGCACTCCAGCCTGGGCAACAGAGCCAGACTCCGTCTCAAAAAAAAAAAAAAAAAAGAAAAGAGAAAGGAAGAATGACTCAGAGGACAGAGCTGGGAGACCAGAGGGCAGAGTCCTGAGCTGCAAAGTATTATTTCCAGGCTTTGAAACCTAATGGAGTTTGTCTAACTTAATTTTGAAATTGCTTGGGACTGGTGACCTCTCTATCTCTTCCTTTCTCTCCTTTTACATGGGAATGTCTATAAGTGTTATCCTCCGCTAGACCCATTATCATATTTTGGAAGCAGAAGCTTATTTTCTAGTTTCACATGTCCACAGATGGAGAGAAACTTTGCCCCAGGATAGATTATGCTGAGTCTCATCCAATACCTAATTTAGATAATATCTATGATAAATTTGAAACTCTTGAGCTAATGAGATGTAAATGAGACTGTGACCTTTGAGTTGATACTTTAATGGGCTGAGACTTTCAGGGACCTTGGAATAAGGTGAATGCATTTTGTATGTGAGACAGATATGAGTACTGGGACCAAAGAATGGTCTGTGGTAGGCAGAATAATGACCCACCAAAGATTCCTCCAGAACCTGTGAATCTGTTACATTACATGGCAAAAAGAGACTATGAAGAATTGATTAAACTAAGGATTATGAGACAGGGAGATTATCCTACATTACCTAATAGGCCCAATAATCACAGGGGTCCTTAAAAGTGGAAAGGGGGCCGGGTACGGTGGCTCATGCCTATAATTCCTACACTTTGGGAGGCCGACGCAGGCAGATCACTTGAGGTCAGGAGTTCGAGACCAGCTTGGCCAACATGGTGAAACCTCATCTCTACTAAAAATACAAAATTAGCCAGACGTAGTGGCGAGTACTTGTAATCCCAGGTAGTCAGGAGGCTGAGGCAGGGGAATCACTTGAACCTGGGAGGCGGAGGTTGCAGTGAGCCAAGATCGTGCCATTGTAGTTCAGCCTGGGCAACAAGAGTGAAAC